TTATGTACATGGGTTTATGGGTTTCGAAAAATTTAATTTTTTTATTGTCTTTTTAAATTCTACAACACCTCTAGAATGCAGCATGGAGAACTTGTGCGCTGTCTTTAAACGCATTTTTCTCGAAACTGTGTTTTTCAAGTCGGTTGGCAAGATTTACCGATAACTACTTAGTCGAAGTTCATGAAATTTTACACAGGTCTTTGAGATACATTTCTTAAAGAGTGGAATGAAGCATTTCTTTTTCGATTACAACTATTTGAATTAAAATTGTCGTAAAATTTTCACTGAAATTTTAATTTTTCTGAAAAAATGTCTGTCAAAAATACAACTTTCAGTATTTTTTCAGCACTAAATTATAATATATCCATTATTATATATGCACTAAATTTTTCATGTTAAAAAAAGAGGAAAAGAGCATTGTCGAATTTTACAGTTAACGGCAATTTAAAAAGTGCAAACAGCGTGACTCGTGCTTAGTGACAAAATAATAGACTCAATAGCAAAATGGTTTCATTAACGAAAAATATTTAATTTAAAAAGCGTACTAAGTACTTATACTATATGTATGTATTAACTTAATTAGATATGTATGTGGAATAAATAATTTTATCATTTATGAATTTATTTAAAAAAAGAAAAGATGTTAACTTCGGTTGCACCGAAGCTAAATACCCTTCTCAGGTGCATTTCTGTTAGTATGGAAGCTATGTGCTATAGTAATTCGTTCTGAACAATTCCTTCTGATAATACATTATTTCTATAAACAATAACTCATACCGAATTTCGTGAAGATATATCGTCAAATGAGGAGGTTTCCCATGCAAGTACTTGATTCCGATCATTCAGTTTGTATGGCAGCTATATGCTATAGTTAACCGATCTGAACAGTTTCTTCGAAGATTACATTTTTGCCTTAAAAAGTAATCTGCACCAAATTTCGTGAATATATCTTGTTAAATGTGAAAGTTTTGCATATAAAAGAACTTGATTCCGATCGTTCAGTTTGTATGGTAGCTATATGTTATAGTGGTCCGATATCGGCAGTTCCGACAAATGAGCAGCTTCTTGAAGAGAAAATGTACAAAATTGCAAAACTATATCTTAAAAACTCAGGGACTAGTTGGTATATATACAGACAGACGGACGGGCGTGGCTAAATCGACTCAGCTCACCATACTGATCATTTATATATATATATATATATACTTTATAGGGTCTCCGATGCTTTCTTCTGGGTGTTACAAACTTAATGATAAGCTTAGTATACACTGTTCAGGATATAAAAATAACTGAACAGTACTCTCTCTCCCAATTACTTGCTCTACAGTGCCATGTTTAGCACGAAAACCGAATTGTTGCGTTGATATTATATTATTTTCGTGTCCTTGATAGTAACAGTAGTAAAGAGCAAGGATCAATTATCATTTTTGGAGTAATATTATCGTGTCCTGATGCCTTTTTCGGATTTAGGTCTTTTATTATTCTAGTAACTTCAGCAGTAGAAGTTCTAATAGACACAAGCGACTCGTTAGTGGTATTAGGCAAAGTTGGCCACTTAAATTGGTTCTTTGGGCAATTCGGTTGAAATACCTTTTATAGGTGATTCGCAAAGCAATTTGCATTTTCCTCATCACTACGTGCCCAATTACCATTCAACTGTCTTAGAGGCAATATGTCTCAAAAACTTGTGTTTGATGCCTAAAATTTCCAAAAAAAAGGTAGAAAAAAAGGCCGCCCACAAAAAAATGACTGCGGAAGTCGATCGAAATATTGTATAATTGTCGATGCGCGACACGTTTAACGCCTCTGTAGCTATTCAATAAGAATTATGTGCCAACGTTCAACAAACAAAGAAATATGCGTCCGCTATATGACTAGGTCCTTCAAACACCTTGGCGGCAATATTATGGTTTATTGTTGTTTTTCATATTGTAGTGAGGGACTTACATATATTTTTGATAGAAAAAAACATATACCGACATATACACGTTAAAGTTTTAGATTAGGTCATAATGCCATATGCTGAATGGAATTCGCTTTGCATTTTGGCAAATCCAACAAGAGAAAGACCCGAAACATACACTTGTGCTCACATAATTAAGCCACTGCATAGCAAAACTACGTTTCTGAAAATAAATTCACCGAATTAGCTTTTCATTTGTATAACGGTATACAAAAAAGTTCCTTTATATGTTAGGAAGTTACTAAGATCATATTCAGAGAAATAAGTATCGTGGTTGGCGAAAAAATGAAAATAAACTCGCAGTTG